TTTACATCTTTCTTTTCCTGATGGCGGCTGGCAGTGTCTCCCTTTTTCAGCTTCCTGTTCTCTCTCTAGTCTCCTCTCTGTTAGTCCCGCCTATACTTCCTGCCTGGCCACTGCCAATCAGTGATTTATTCATTGACCAATCAGCAACACATTTGACATACAGACCATCCCACAGCACTCCACTTTTCTATGAAAGCCAGATCCTAGCTTTTCCTTCACATTCCTCCTTCTGCCCGCCACGGAACCGTTAGACTCTCTAGTGAGACCTCAGAATGCTTTTCTCTTGTTCTTTGCTTCCCTGGCATCAGGTGTTTCCTTGCAGAACGACTCTCTTGAGTCTTATTTAGAGAACTAGACAAAGTTCCCAGGCACGGCATCATTATCTATCTAGGTTAAAAACTATGTATTTTTTATTATTAGTCTTTATTCTTACCTTGAAGTCTCTTTCAGATTCAGTTGGTCTTTAGTGTGATGTTCTATATACTTCCTCAAAGGAGGTCTTGAGAGTGAATTCTTAAGGTGGTGAAAATCACCAATAGTCTTCTTTTACCACAATAACTGAGATGAAATAGCATGATAGGAAGATACTGAATGACATCACATTTCTCTAACCAGCCTGTAGATGAAATTGCATATTTTCTAGCTTCTAGCTTGGAAAGCACATGGTTTAATGTGCCTGGTTATTTTTCTTGTAATTTTTTTTTCCTGTCTGGGAAGAGGCTTTTAGATTTTCCTCTTTATTGGTGGTGTGTGTAGTAGAAATCCTGCCCAATGGTGTGCATCAGACATCTCTTTCTGGCTCCTTACTTAGGAGGTCCTGTTAGGAGCTTGAGATCAGCCCTGGTGGGGATGATGTCATAGAAGTCAGGGGTGCGGCTGAGACATCTTTCTGATGTACAGAGCTGACCAATTGCTGCACGTTTAAAGCCCTCCTGTGGCTTTTCTCCACTTGCTGCAGGGCAAAGGCCAAATAACTTCCCTTGGCACGCGAGACCTTCTTATGATCTCTGCACTAACTGTAGAAGTTCCCATCTGCAACAGCGAAACTGTCAGGTGCACTTGGGGAGAAGTACAACAGCTTGGCTCTGATCCGGCACATGTATTTCTTCTTTGTCAAACCTTGTTTCCTCCCCTCACTCCACTCAGCTCTCAGCAGGCCCCCCTGAGCAGGAGTATTGGTTTGGGCCTGTCAGGATGCAATAACAAAGCACACTAGAGGGAGCAGCTTGTAAGCCACAGAAGTCTGTTGTTCGGAGTTCTGGAAGTTGGCTGGCCAGGACTAAGGCACAGGTGTATTTGGTGTTACAGGAGGATCATACACATGGCTGCCGCAGACACAGCTTCAGACATCACTATCTTCTCACCGTAACTCCACAAGGCAGATGGGAAGGGCTCTCAGACCCCTCTTATAAAGGCCGAAGTCACATCTGGCTTTTCAAGAGGCAAATGCTCAGACTAGAGTAGCTTTCTACTGGTGTTGCCTCTTCATTATTTATATCTAATTTAACTTTACATTAGAAGACCCACCGAGACCTGAACTGGTACTGCCCCTAATTGTTCACAAGTACTTCTTACTGTTCCCACAACATCCTCTTGCATTTTGTTGCTAATAATCTTAGCAATTGGTTTGTGCCTCCTTGGCAAGTAAGGCTACAACACTCCTGTTTCCTAAGAATCATTAATAGTAATCAATGTATGGATGAGTGAATACTTGGTGATCATAGGGAAAGGATAAAGATACAAAGTTTGTTAAGGAAAAATTAAGCATAGAAAGGAAATATAATAGAAGTCTGATTGGGTCATTTGGTCACAGACAAGTGATTGACACAGCTCTGGAGAAAACCAGAGCAACTTGTTCTTCCAAGCAACAATCAAAGAATCATAATAGAACTATCCAGAAAGGAAGAAATGTTTAAAACCATACAGAAGTACTACTAGTCAAACTATGTAAATTCTTGCATTTAAAAAGTAAATCTTATAGAATGATCATGGATTTAAAAAAACACACACCATTAAAATCAGAGTGGATGGTGTATGTGTGTGTGTGTGTATGTGTGTGTGTGTGTGTGTGTGTGTACGCGTGCGCGCGCACACATGTGTTTGTGGGTAGATGCCCCTGTGTGCACATATGTGGAGACTAGACATTGGTTTCTTCATCACTATCCACCTTATTTTTTAAGGCAAAGACTCTCACTGAACCAGGTGCTCACTCATTGGCTAGATGGGCCCGTCAGTGAGCTCTGGGACGGAGCTGTCTGTGCCCCGCCCCCCCAGCACTGGGGTTACAAGTGCATGCCACCACAATTTCACTTGAGTTCTGGAGATCCAAACTCCCCTCCTCATTCTTGTGTAGCAAAGGCTTTATCCACTGAACTGATTTTCTGATATTTTTTGAGAAAATAATTACCCATATATTTCCTGATTATGTCATATCAACTTTACAAATTACATCATATTATCTTACATATTATATATAATATGAACAGCTCTGTAAAATCCACGCATAAATAGACATTAATCTGTATCTTTTAGTAATGATTCCTTACTATATTTAGGATGAGGAGTTTAGCTGACTCTTTTAAGGCTTCCTTTGGATTGAAAAAGCTAGGGGTGACTATGGACCAGTGTTAGAACTGGGAAATCTAAGCCCACTGCTGCTGTGCTTGATAAGGCACACTATCCAATCCCATGCAGTTACTGCTGTATTGAATGTTTTCCCATCCCATATGCCTTCCTGGGTCTCAGCAGTGACCAAGCTTGACCTCTACAATCCAAAACCACTTGCTTAGTCACCGGTAGGCAGGAGTCTTCACTATGCCCACTCCTAGACTAGAACTCATACATAAACACCCCTTATAACTTACACTTTCACAAATGCTATGTTTCAAATGGCCTCTTGTATTAAAGGTTTTCTTTTGTTCAGCTAGCAGTAGTGAGCTGTCCCCACTTCAAACTAAGAAGGCAGACACAGACACTTCTTATAACCATCACTTGAAAAACGCCCTTTTCCAGTTGTTGTTGGCTCCTGTTGAAATATAGTTTTCTTTTGTGTTTTTGACATTTTTATATTAATATCTTCCTGCTTGTGAAACCTGTATTCTCTTACTGTATTGGGATTAGTCAGTAATTGCTCACTTAGGCACTTCTAAATCTGTCAGATCATTGGCGTGGCTTTCTCTTTCATGCTGACGTTTCTGGGTTGCATCCTAGCTTCCGTAATGGGTTCAAAGTGTGTTCTCTAGATGGGACATATTGTGATAACTCGAATTTTACCTCTTCCAAGTCTCAAAGAGTATGTTTGACATTACACAATGTTTTTTTTTAAGGTAATTTCTTGGTTACTTATGGTTCTACTCCTGTATATTTTTTATTCATATTTGGTAACTACTGTATTCCTATAATTTTCTCTAAGATTTTGAAATGTGATTGCATAATCATGTACTATTTTGTTTTTATTGATCTTTGAGTCTGTCGAGATAACCCTTCTTAATTGCTACATCTGTGGCTTTCTTGTCTTTTTCCAATTAAAATTCCACTCGTCAAACCATGTTCTAAATATTTAAAACACTGGGAACTTTACTCATCTCTGTCGTTGTGGTATGTGTAGTCTCACTGAGTGGCTTCTGCTTGCATATGGGTATCGCTGTGTCCCATTTCCCTTTGTTCTCAAGAATTACTGTTGCTCCTCTAAAGTCTCACATTCCATTCACTCTCTTCCTCGTGTGTAACAGGAGAAGATAAAACCATGAGTTTATCAATGAATACAACTTTAGCCAAATTTCATACATGCCATTAAGACTTTAATTTTCTGACCTATAACTATGGCTACGTCTAACTTTTAAACCCAAAAAGTTACAGTTACAGATCTTTCTTTTTCTTAGTAGTCCTGCTGGATTTTATGTAATCTCTCACTGTATACATTTTGGGTGAGAGAACAGAGCTCTATAATTTATGCTTTTGAAATTTATTGAGGTTTGTCTTTGTGGCCTAACATCAGCCACGTCTGTTAGTCTTTCCCAGATATTTGTTTGTTTGTTTGATTTTTTTTTTAAGGATGTATTTATTTATTATGTATACAGTGTTCTGTCTGCATGTATGCCTGCCAGGAGAGGGCACCAGATCTCATTATGGATAGTTGGGAGCCACCATGTGGTTGCTGGGAATTGAACTCAGGACCTCTGCAAGAGCAGCCAGTGCTCTTAACCTCTGAGCCATCTCTCCAGCCCATTCCCCAGATATTTGAAGAATCAATCTTCTCTTTTTAGGCTACAAAGTTGATTCTTAGCTGTCAAGAGTGTTTTGGGTTATGTATAAAATATTCTGTTTCCACTTTTTTTGTTTCTGTTTTTGTCTTTACTCACTGTACGAAGAAGGTTTCAAGGTATTCATAATAAGGTTGTTTAATTATGTCCACCGTGGACTTGCAAGCTGCACGCAGAGCAACACAGGTGTAGCATCTGCTAGTTTCCAGCACAAATGCAGATTTGACTTTTTTTTTAATTCCATTGTCTTTTTTATGTGGGAGTTTGATGAGAGTTCAAGTTTTAGATGAATTGACTTCTGCTCCTTATGTTCCAGTGGTTTCATTTTACATCTTTTTCCATTACTTTTTATTATTTGTAAATCCACTACACACACACACACACAAAACACAAAGACACAAGCTCAGCTCAGATGTTCTCACCTTCGGTCTCATTATGTGAAGATATTTTTAGTGCATAATTTAGTGCATATTTTGAGTGCTGTCAATCACAAATAGGACATAAGGAACCTAAGCCTGGGATTTGTATTTCTTTCAGAAAAGCATATTTCTCCACTGAGTGTCCTCTTCCTTGCAAATGAACGTTATTGGATTCTTAATACTGGATTTTATAGACAGATAACCAAGGAGATCCTGATACACCATCATATTCTTAATGCTGTGGTAGTAAGTGCGTCAGCTCAAACATTGTTTCTTAAAGTTTCCAAAATAAGCAAAACAAACGATTGTTCCCTTGCAGCATTCCCACCAATAACGTCCTCCAAGCCAAGTGTGGACATTCCAAACCTGCCTTCCTCCACCTCGTCCTTCGCCGTCTCTCCTGCATACTCCATGACGGTCATCATCTCCATCATGTCCAGCTTTGCCCTGTTTGCTCTTCTTACCATCGCGACTCTTTACTGCTGCCGAAGAAGGAAAGAGTGGAAAAAGAAGAAAAGGTCAGATTCGGGTTGAAGCCCATCACGTGAAGTCATGCCGTGTAACCCACACACTCAATTCTGGAATTGGGGGTTAGAAGAGCAGTGTCTGTCACACCACCCTTGCCTTACTAACATCCATGCCTTGGCTTTAAAATTAGACAGCCCTGGCCGGGCGGTGGTGACGCACGCCTTTAATCCCAGCACTCGGGAGGCAGAGGCAGGCGGATCTCTGTGAGTTCGAGGCCAGCCTGGGCTACCAAGTGAGTCCCAGGAAAGGCGCAAAGCTACACAGAGAAACCCTGTCTCGAAAAACAAAAAACAAAAAAAACAAAACAAAAAAAAAAAAAAATTAGACAGCCCTACCTTGAGCTTTAAAAAGCTCCCGTGTACCAAAGTCAGTTTTTACCACAGGAAGAACTTAATCTTTCGGGTGGAAATGGCTGCTCCTGTATCCTGCCTTCTCCCACCTCTGCTGCTGATATGGATGGTGACAAAAGGTGCCTCTTGACTGGAGACCAAGCCACATACTTGGTTGTTCTCGGGCCTAAGAGTCCTCAGCTAACTCAGTATTACATACTCTATGTATTTCTAACTGTCTTGAAGGATCTAGGTCAAAGGCCATTGCTGATCTCGCCTCTCGCACCTGCAGAGAGTCAGCAGCGGTGACCCTCACCACACTGCCTTCCGAGCTCCTACTGGACAGACTCCATCCCAACCCCATGTACCAGAGGATGCCGCTCCTCCTGAATCCCAAGTTGCTCAGCCTGGAGTATCCCAGGAATAACATTGAGTATGTCAGAGACATCGGAGAGGGAGCGTTTGGAAGGGTCTTTCAAGCAAGGTAAAATTAACCATGAGGGGAAGGGAGGAATCTCTGTTGAAAAATTACAGGATCATTAGACTGATCTACTCTATCTAAAGTCGTTATCAAGTTATTTAATTCTTTATATCATTTGTTTGTATTGAATGCTATTTTTGAAGATTTTTAAATTTTTTAATTTACATGGGTTGGTGTTTTGCCTGCATGTATGTATGTGCACCATGTGGCCACAGTGCCCTCAGAGACCAAAGGAGGACATTGGATCCCCTGGAACTGGAGTTACAGATGGGTGTGAGCCCCTGTGTGGCTCCTCAAAGCAGTCAGTGTTCTGAGCCATCTCTCTACCCCCACATGCTTTATTATAAATCTTACTGTCCCTCCCATTCTTTACTAGGAAATAATATACCTAGAAAGAATGTAGTTTGCTGCATTTCAATTTGTAATTTATAGGAAATTTAATATATATATATTATATTTATATAAATTTAAAATCAATAAGCAGTTTACAAGAAGTTTCTAGTAATTCAACCATATTTCCTTTCTAGAAAATTATTTTCTATACATTTTAGCCATAATTTCTTACATTGCTTTGGTAATAATCCCTATTTACTTCCTTTTCTTCTTTCTGTTGTCATTCTCTGCTTCATTTAAAGTTCCCTTTGAATTAGTGTTTAAGAACTCAGAATATGACTTCTGTAGACATTAAATAGACATTCAGGGAGTAACAAAACAGAAAAGGAAAATGTAAATATTCAAAAATCAGTGAGTTCAGGAAAGGAGTATATATTACAGTCAATCATAGCTCATTTCTTGACTTGGTGTAAAATGGAATAAAATACCCACTCTGTGTGGATGCAGCTCCAGAGATACATAGCTGGGCAATAGGATGTGGAATTGGATTTAGTTAGTCTTCAGTCTTGTCCTTAAGCAGGCATAGACCTGCTTCCATTTAAAGTAGCTTTGATATTGAGGTTTCATTTAAAGTGAAAAGTCTTACAAACTTACTGTGAGATTGGCAAGAAGCAACTTTAGGCTGTATGGGGAACGTAAAAACAGTCAGCCGTGACTCCACCCTCAAGGAATTTAGATTCAGGCTGATCAGTAGGGGATCACAAAGGACATGTTAAGTCTTTCTCTTTCTCTCTCTCTTTCTCTGTGTGTGTGTGTGTGTGTGTGTGTGTGTGTGTCCCCTCTAGTTGTTAAATAATACATTTAACATGTATGTTCAATGTTATATATTAACATAATTTATTTAAATAACCTATGTTGAAAATAACTAGTGAATTTCCTAAGTGGCGTAACGAAGTTTAAGCCTGACTTATTTTCATCTTCCTTCGGTTTGTGGCTCCGGAAAAGGCTGCAGAAGCATGGTGGGGGGCTCTATAAATGTGAGTAAATATAATCATGGGGATAAACATCCCCGCCTTGGGTTTATCTCTCAGGGCTCCTGGCTTACTGCCTTATGAACCTTTCACTATGGTGGCCGTGAAGATGCTTAAGGAGGAGGCCTCGGCGGACATGCAAGCTGACTTTCAGAGGGAGGCAGCCCTCATGGCAGAGTTTGACAACCCCAACATCGTGAAGCTCTTAGGTATGAAAATATGACCGAAGGAAGACTGTTCCTCGGCAAGGAGGCTTTCTGAGCTTTCCCTCTTTGGTATTTCCCTTATTTAGTCTGCTGTCTTTCTTGCCGATCAGTGGGACATGTCTCTCTCCTCCTTCCCTAGTTCAGCCTCTTCCCCTCCTTCCTCACACTCCTTCTACCCCAGCTCTCAGGGCGCTGTGCCTCACAGATACCCTTTAACCCCATCACTTCCGACTGTCTCATCCCTGCTGCCTCTTCTCTGGTTAGAAAGTTTTCAAGTGTCTCCACATAGAATAAATTCCCTTGACACTAATTCACCATCACAGAATTTATTAAGGCCTAAAAGTATGTATAGCTCATTTGCCCATTTTATTTTTTCCCTAAACTAGAGCATCATGATTTAAATCACATTTTGTTCATTGTTGTGTCCCCATTTCATCACAGATTCATAAATTTAACAAGTATTCATGGAATAGTTCATATAGTTACTTAGAAATAAATAAACCTTTAACAATATCTGGCCTTGTGCAGCTTACATTCTTTTTGAGAGACAGCAGAAGTAAACATGGGTAAATGTGGCTTATATGCTTCTGATTTGTTTTAAAACTCCAAGTAAAGGGAGACTTTTTGGAACATGAGCTACTATCTTTGAAGACTTCAGTGTGCAGGTGACATTTGTGTACAGACTTGGCCGAGGTAAGAGAATGGCAGTGTGGATAGATTGGAGAATGAGCCGCTCCTGCACAGGCCCCATGGCAAGCTTGGCTAGTGCTTAAAGAACACCAGACAGGGCTGGGAAGAGGGTGGGCTGTACATAGTGTCCACTGCACCAACATGAGGGCCTGCGTTTGGACCCCCTTCACCCGCAGAAAGGCTGGGTATGGTGACACATGCCTGTGAATCCCAACACTGAGAAAGTAAAGAGAAGAGGACCCCTAGGACTTGAAGGCAGCCCACCTAGTGGGATTGGCAAGTGTAGTGATATATTGTATACCCTAATAAACTTGCCTGGGGATCAGAGGACAGAGCCAGCCACTAGATTAGACATAGAGGCCAGACAGTGGTGGCACACACCCTTAATCCTACCACTCGGGGAAACAGAGAGCCATCTGGACCTCTGTGAGTTCAAGGCCACACTGGAAACAGAGCCAGGCAGTGGTGGCACACACCTTTAATCCCAGTACTGGGAAGCACACATGCCTTTAATTCCAGAAAGTGACATGGCTGTGCAGGGAAAGGTATATAAGGTGTGAGGAAGCAGAAACTAAGGCAGTTCAACTGAGACCCTTTCAGATGAGGACTCAGAGACTTGCAGTCTGAGGAAACAGGATTGGCTGAGGAGTTGGCGAGGTGAGGTTGGTTGTGGCTTGTTCTGTTTCTCTGATCTTTAAGCTTTCACCCCAATATCTGGCTCTGGTTTTTTTATATTAAAAGACCACCTAAAATTCAAACAACAGGCGAGCTCCAGGATCAGTGAGAGACTCTGTCTCAGGAAAAAATAAGGTCGGGAGCCATTAAGGAAGACACTTGACATTGGTTATGCCATACACATCCATGTGCACACATCCTACACACATGTACCCTTACACACAAACATAAACATGTGTATATATACACACACACAGAATAGAGAATAAAAAGGTGATGGGGAGGGTTTGAGGGAGTTATGTAAGACTAGATCCCATAGTAAATGCAGTGGGGTGGTTGGAAGATACTGCAAGACCTTCACACAAAGAACCAAAGAATACTGAGACTGGGAGAAATAGTCTTCCTCAGAGAAGAGCTCACCAACTCTTATCTAATACCAGATGTTCAGCCCTGACAATATACATACAAGTAACATTATACAGACTGACCAGGTTGTATTTAGGAATATGTATGTGATATATATATATATATATATATATATATATATATATATATATATACACACACACACACACACACACACACACACACTCATATGCATGTAATAACAATTAATGAAAAGAGGCCATAAATTTGAAAGTAAGGAGAGGGAAATGATGTAATTACAGTATAATCTCAAAAATTAAAGAAAAAACCACTGACTTTTACTGTAACTAAAATGGAAGTCAAATGGAAAGTCTGAGCGGAAAAGTGCCAAGCCATGGTATGACGTGATTCACATTTTCCCCCAGAAGGCCTCTGTCTGGTTTGTTGAGCGGAGTTGCAGGGAAGGCAGTGAAAACATGGAGACAGTGAATGGGTTCTTTCAGTATGCAGAAAAGGAAGATGTGGCATAGGTCAGGGAGACGTGGTGGGGTAATGAGAAGGTGTAGTCGGAGGGTTTCTCTGGTCCCACAGTCCCATGGCCCACTTATAAAATAATCACTCAGAAGCTTATATTAATTATAACTACTCTGCCATTAGCTCAGACTTATTACTGATTAGCTCTTACACTTAAATTAACCCATAATTCTTATCTATGTTTAGCCATGTGACTTGGTTCCTTTTCTCAGTTCTGCCTTGTCATCTTGCTTCCTCTGTGTCTGGCTGGCGTCTCCTGACTCAGCTTGCCTCTTCCAAGAATTCTCCTTGTCTGCTTATCCCACCTATACTTCCTGCCTGGCTACTGGCCAATCAGTGTTTTGTTTATCAACCAATCAGAGCAACACATATTTATAACATACAGAACGACATTCCACAACAAGAAGGGATGGGGGTCTGTGTGCAGTTCAAAGGCAGAACCAAATAATTCCTAGATAGAGCAAATGTGAACTGTGCAACAAGGAAGGGAGCCGAGGAGAAGGCCACACACTTTGTTTAGGTTTTGATGAATTCTGGAGTGAGGACAGCAATGGGACATTCAAGTGCGGTGAGCTCGAACCATGCGGAAGAGCTGAGAATACACGTGGAAAGCCAGATCCCTCCTACTGCAGTGGTCTAAACTTCCTGCTCAACACCCATCAGGCTCAGAAAACATAGCAATAGAGCTAAAGTGAGGTACTCAGAGGAGAAAGATGGCATTTTCGCTTTTTAAATTTTGTATAACTTGAAAGCCTTTGACAATAATCGACAATGAGAACCAAACTGAGACACTTTTTTGTTGTTGCAAACTAATTTGAACTGTTCCTTAAAGTCTGACTATATTCATATATGTGTCTGCAATTTTACAGCATTCTCTGTTCCTGGGGTTGATTCTGACTCAAGCCAGGTACAACGCACTGACGCGTGGTTACTGGGAAGTGTGTTTTTTCATCACCAATAAGAGTTTCTTTCAAATTACCCAACAAGAACTAAGATTCATACTGCCTATAATAATTGGAGGTAGAAGAAGAATCAAGATTTCAAAGTCACAGTTGGCTCAAAGTGGATCTGAGGACAGCCATGAGACAATGTAACACACACACACACACACACACACACACACACACACACACACACACATTTTTTTCTTGAGAGGCATATGTTATCTTGAGCTTCCTAATGTAAGAATTCTTTCAAAACCAATTTAACTAGCATAACCACAGTAAAGCCGCCTGATGATACACGTAAATGATTGTTGACAAAGACCCAAAGAAGATCGTGTAAGAGGGACAGTGAAATGTGACCAACATGCGATTTCCTCTTTAATGTATACACTGTCAGCTAAAATCCTTTGAATTACAAAAATAACTAGAAAAGGCCCTAGTCCTTATTTCTCTTCTTTCTCTCAAACTCAAACTTCTACTCTTTCTCTGAAAAACATAACAAATCGGACAATCTGTTTTTGTTGTGATGTGAAATTATGCCCATCAGATTTAATGGTACAAGCTCATACATTTATTTCTCATGTATAGTAAGATGTCAAGGGTTTTCAAATGTCTTCCTGGCACTGTGTGTAAAACTCTGTGTGTATGAACATTGCTTTCTTTATAGAATGCACATCAAATGATAAAAATCTCAAACTCTTTTACTACAGCCACCTAAGGAGTTCCTCCTAGAATTTGGGATTATTTTTACTGTTCTTCCTAAATGTGGTAGATATTTCTTGTTCTCATTCTTCAGAGAACTAAACAGAATGATTACATCACACATTCCCAGCAAACACTCATTCCTGAATCCATTTACCGTATGTTACCTTGCACTGCTCCCCAGATACCTGGTCAGTCTGAGGGATTTAAAGAAACATGACATAGTCTCTCCATTCCAAGAGATGAAATGTTTGGGAAACATCTTTAAAACAATGAATGTGTATGAAGTAAAGTGGTAGGTACTATGTGGAAAGATAACGGAGGGAAAAATTTAAGAATCAAGGGGTCGGGAATTGAGACACCCTAGAAAGAGAAGAAATACATCAAAATTTACCAGGTAACAGGAGATGTTTAAGAAAAGAAGTGGGGGGTCACAGGATGACTCTTGCTGTCCTTAAAAAGTGGGACCCCATCTTTTCTGGTCTGGTCTTTTGATTTTGGAGTGCTCTTTCCTTGTGGAAAGACTCAGCCTAACAAAGATATTATTTTGATTGCAGGCGTATGTGCGGTAGGAAAGCCTATGTGTCTGCTCTTTGAGTACATGGCCTATGGTGACCTCAATGAGTTCCTCCGAAGCATGTCCCCTCACACCATGTGCAGCCTCAGCCACAGTGACCTGTCCACGAAGGCTCGGATGTCCAGCCCCGGTCCTCCACCCCTGTCCTGTGCGGAACAGCTCTGCATTGCCAGGCAAGTGGCAGCCGGCATGGCCTACCTGTCCGAGCGCAAGTTTGTCCACCGGGACTTAGCCACTAGGAACTGCCTGGTGGGGGAGAACATGGTGGTGAAAATTGCAGACTTTGGCCTCTCCAGGAACATCTACTCCGCAGATTACTACAAAGCTAATGAAAACGATGCCATCCCTATCCGTTGGATGCCACCCGAGTCCATCTTCTACAACCGCTACACCACGGAGTCGGACGTGTGGGCCTATGGTGTGGTCCTCTGGGAGATCTTCTCCTATGGCCTGCAGCCCTACTATGGCATGGCCCATGAAGAGGTCATTTACTATGTGAGAGATGGCAACATCCTCTCCTGCCCTGAGAACTGCCCCTTGGAACTGTACAACCTCATGCGCCTGTGTTGGAGCAAGCTGCCGTCGGACAGACCCAGCTTCTGCAGTATCCACCGGATCCTGCAGCGCATGTGCGAGAGAGCAGAGGGAACGGTGGGGGTCTAGAGCTGACTGTGCTCAAACAACACCCAGTAGGCTCTTTTCAGACTGTGAGCTGAAGGATTTCAGACTGTGAGCTGGAGGAATCCTACGGCAGAGGTCGGACAGGACCGGATAGGAAAGAGTTTAATGTAGACATCACGAACCAGTTTGCCACAAGAAACAGATCGTGAAAAACCCGCAGGGTAGAAGAGTCTCGTTGAAATAGGAAATTGGAGACACAAGCTAGGAAAAGTAAGAAGATTGCAGGTCGCTCTTCTCTCTTGCAGGGCAGGTCCTAATACATACTGTATAATGAGATTACCTCTGGTTCCGTTGCTCCATCACCCCTCAGAGTGAGACTGCTGTGCTCGGTCGGTTGAAGGTTGAATCCAAAGCCGGATGTGCAGCTTCGTTTTTATGCTTTTTTTTATTTATTTTTTTTTTTAGCTTCGTTTTTGATGGAAGACAACCTGTCCATTGAAAAAGCAGCGTGTCTCTGTGTACATGTAGGTAAGGACAGAAATCTAAAGACAAGAACCATTCTTTCCTCACTCAAGACACACGATAGGTCCTTTCTGTGGCTTACTTCTTTCTTGCCTTGAGGGTGCAGTCACGTATTTGCGTTCTAGAGTTGCGCATCTATTTTACTGATGGGTGGACAACCCGCAAGCTCTTTGCTGGCCGCACTTCCCGGCGCCTTTTCTGTCTGATCTCCACCAGAAGCCCTTCCTTGGTGTTCACTCATCACAGAGGTGATTCGCCTCATTCCTCTGGTTTTCTAGAAAAAAAATTCATAACTTACCAGTCTATCCTTTTTTGAGAACTATATTGGCACACTTTCCTTAAAATAACATAGATAACGTTTTTCATCTCTGTCAAGTATGATCCCCTTCTTTTCTATGTGCTCTTGAATTTGCCATACAGTAATTATGTTGCCACCAGCCACTAAATATTGTAAAGCATGAGGCATAATATCAGATACCGCGAGATGCTTTGTGGTTCCAAGCTATTTCACAGGCACTGTTTTTTGTGCATTCTGATGTATTATCTTTTAGAAGGCGTTTTGATTGATTGGTCCTATGATTAGCAGAGCTTTGCTTCATAACTTCTGCACAGTGGATCAAGCCATTTTGTTACTTACTATGATTTTTTTTTTTTTAACTTCCTGGACTCGGGTCCTCCAGTGCCTAAGGTCTCTCAGTAGAAACTTACACACATACATAAGGACATGTGGAGGTGATTTGTCATCTGTGTGTGGTTTCAAAGCCTACACAACATGCCTTGCTATTGTTTTCCTAAGTGTTTTCAATGACTAGAAAGAAAGCCTATTTTAGTATTATCAATTTAAACCAATCTAAACATCCAATAGGATGGCATGTTTGTCTCAGCATGAGTTTTAATTGCACTTTTGAGTTAAAACCACTAAGTTATTTCACTGGTAGCTGGTTAGAATGTGGTGTTGTGTAGGAACAGGGGTCCAGTACAGCAATAAAAAAAGGGAGACATGCTACCAGCTGCAGGATGATATCAGCAAGTCTATGTAAGTGTCCAGGCACCAAACACAGCAAAAGTACCAGGTCATTTTGCACATGGTGCCAAAACATGTTCTCTGGAATTAGGATAGAGCAGAAAAAGAAAATTTTCCATCACTTCATAGTTTACTATGAATCTATTACATGTCATTATTATTCTAAAAACTAATGTAATTTTTGAGTATTATCAATTTTATGGGTATCTCATAATTTAATCAATCTTAGATTTTTGCACATGTAACATTCTCCTAATTTTCATCATCACAAACAGTATTCTGATCACCTCCATTTTTACACATCGCTAAATATCTCTTTATGGAAAACACATGGCATGCACTGTACTATAACTTTTGCTATGGGGCCTGAAGAGATGGCTCAGCAGTTAAGAGTGCATACTGCTCTTGCAAGGACTGGAGTTCAGTTCTCAGCACCCACCTTGCAACCACCTGTAATTCCAGGTCCCAGGGGTTCCGATGCCTCTGGCCTCTGAGGGCACCTGAACTCACGTGCACATACGTACACACAGATACCCACAAAACACATAATAAAAATAAAACTTTTATTGTGCATTGTTATGGTCTCTAGAAATGTTATCATAGCTGCATTGTACAAGATAACTCATAACACTAAGCACTTGCTATGATAGAAAATGAATACTCTTTTATCAATTTTGTGGGGGGGGTACGTGAGCATGTACACACGTGTGGGGGAAGCACAATGTCATGGTGCACATGGAGAAATCAGAGGACATCCTCTAGTACTGGTTGTCTTCTACCTTGTTTGAGATAAGTTCTCTTGCTGTTTGCCACTGGCCTGAGAGCTCCCAGGGATTCTCCTGTCTCCACCTCCATCTTGCTGTAGAGGCTTAGAGGTTACAGCAGAGGCTCCTGCATATGGATTGATGTGGGTTCTGGGGACCTGAACTCCGGTCCATCCTTGTGTGGCAAGGAGTTTACCCAATTGATGCTCTCTTTTTTAAATAAAAAAGAGAATGACATTTGAATGTTAAACTCTGGGGAAATTGAGCTGGTCACAGCAGCACAGCATCAATCCTAGCACTTGGGAGCCTGAGTCATAAAGGTCACAAATTCCAGGCCAGCTTTGACTACACAGTAGCAAAACTCAGTCTCAAAAAGCAAAAGTAAGAGTTGAAATTTTCTTTTTTCTAATTACCTGCAGTCTAATTTTCTATTGTGTCCATTTTAGAATTGATATGTAAGGTTTATTTTATAAAAAGCATATTATGCTTCTGTTATACTTTATATGAAGAGAAAATCGAAGTATATTTTCCCTTAAAGTAAATGTTCCTTTCTTCCTACCTTAAAGTAAATGTTTTTTTCTTCCTTGTAAAAGTGTTCATTTCTTATGAAAAGGAGAAAATGATAAGCAACATACATTAATAATATATACTTTACAATAATAATAAACAATTGTAATAATGAAGAAACAACAACTGTTGCTTATTAATTTTAATATCACAAGAATATTCTTTCACCATTTATCAATAAGTAGGTAGGGAGGTAGATGGCAGATAGAAGATAGATAGATAAATAAGTGATAGATAGATAGGTAGGTATGTAGGTAGATAGATAGATAGATAGATAGATAGATAGGAGATAATTTAAAGTAAAACAGACAGACTGATTCTGCTATACAGATAAGGCTCTGTTCTTATCATCTAATATATTCTAACATATTCTGTATCAAAAAGTATTCATGTACAGCATCACTTGTAATGATTGCACATATGAATTTATTATAGTTTTTATAATGTAGTAGTTCATTGCTGGAATTAGGCTTATATCTATTTTTCATAATAAAATATAATCTTTCATAATCTTTGTTGCTGATATTATGAACATTTTTCGTAAGTAATTTCTTTAGATACCACTCTTAGAAGTGGAATTTATAGATTAAAGGGCACTTGTACTTTTAGTGATTTTGAACATATTGACAATTACATTTCTTTATTAATCTGTCAATGCATATATCTTTCAGAAAAATGACAGAGAGCATTTCTACATTTCTTTCAGCCTCACCAATTCTAAGTACATTATCACTGTGATCATGGTCAATATAGTAACTTAGAATGTTTCATTTTGCAGCTTTCACTTACAGTTACTTAAATACTGATTATTTTAAATATTTCTCAATGTTTTGAGGACAGTTGACTTAGGATTTGTGTGATGCTAATATTTTCTGTTGAGTGCACCTCTTTCTCATTGCTTCATAAAAGCATTTTATACATTAAAGCATTAAATTTTGTCATACACATTTGAACCACTGCTATCACATTGAAATATATACAGTAGATTTTCTTGTGTCTTTGTTATAAGTTTTTATTCATTGAAAAATGATGCTGAATTTCAACATATTCGAATGACTATTTTCTCTAGTTGATATGTTAATAATGTACAATCATGTAAAATTACTTCCTAATATTGAAACAACCTTGTATTCTGAGAATAAACTCTTTTCAGATGTCAATCTTATATTTAACTTCTGATCTATTAAGATTTTGCACCAACATTTCTAAGTTGAAGATTCATCATTTTCCTCCCTGTTACAGTTTTATCTGCAGAGTGATAGTTTCATAAACTTAAGAGATTTTTTTTCTGTATGATATTGGCTAATACTATGGTTTGGCTATGGTTTGGATGTATCCCAGGATGACATTGTTGAGAAGTACCGGAGCTGTTATAAGCCCGGAGGCAGGGTGGTCTGGTCCCATGTGACTAAGGCAATGCAGGCATCACCCTCAGAGGAGATTAGTGCTGGTGTCTTAGAGTGACATGGTCCTCATTAGAGTGGGTTGTTATAAAGTGGGGTGGGGTCACTTCTTCTGCATGTGCCCTCCTGTGTGTTCCAGCTTCCTCTGTATTTCCTGGACATGTTGTAATCGTCAGCAACCCAGCACCCTCCAGCCACCAGAATTGTAAGCCAAATAAAAGATTCAGCCTCAGGCACTTGGTTATAGCAAAAGGAAATAGAGTAACATATAAGTGCAAAAGGCCCTCAGACCTTACTAGGCCCCTAGACCTTACTTAGCACAACTGATACCATCCATGATGGAAGTAGCATTCAGGCTGTATAACTCAGCACAAAGACAGCACCACCTGCCCAAACTAAAACAAAGACCCGATCCATCAAAGTGCATAGTTCTGGGAAAGTTTCTAAACATAATAAACTTCCTTTTTAGCTTCTGGCTAACTGTTCTTATTAACTGAAGTATGTCAACCTAGAATTATTATTATTATTATTATTATTATTATTATTATTATTATTAGGTTAAAAGCTCGCCCTGAGAAAAGCTCAGGGTTACACTAGGATCCTGAATACCCAGTGTGGTTACTGGCTTCTAAAAATTTTCTATTGTTTTAAACCCATGTCTTAGTAGTATTCTCTGGTGGATATCCCACAACAATAAGTATATTTTAAACTATTCGTTTACAGAGGTAACAAATCTAAGGGAAAACAACAACCACCACCACAACAAAAACCCCTCTCTTCAATGGGGACAGATGAAGAAAACCCAAATCCCTTCTTGCTCTTTACCTCTAGTCCAAGCTGCTATACTGAAAACTTTCCTCTTGTTAGTGTTAGCTTTTGTGGTGCTGGGCACTGCAATTCTAACAAACATGCTCATTTATCTCTTCTAAATTGATCAATTTAAGAAGGTATACAGTATTTCCTTATGATGGCTATTCATGTGGAATTAACTAAAATCCCCAAATGAGGCACACCTTTGAAGGATTTTTGCTAATTTGAAGAAGGAAAATCCACTTCTAATCTGGATCTTTGAGGTGTGAAGACAGAACTTTAATCCATATCTTTTGAGTT